GGACGGTCCTCAGTTGGACGACCTCATCACCAGATTTGCCACCTCCGAAGTCGCCCACGAATCCGACCGGTCCAAGACGGCTCAACGGAGCTGGTAGGGCAGTGGGGACGTAGGTGACGACGACCCCGCTGGCGATGTTCTAAAAAGGAGATCAGCAACAAAAAAAAACACAAAAAATCCAAGAAAAAATGATTCCAAAAAAACAAAAAAGTAAAAATCCCAAATAACAAAAAAATCTAGGCCCAGTGCCCCAAATCCTGCGGAACCTACTTCAAACACTATGGGCGCTGCTGTTGTAGCGATTGTAGGGGCCGCTGTTGGTGCAACTGTCGGCACAGCTGTGGAGGCCTCTCCTTGGGTTACCTAGGACTCAACGTGGAACCTTTGAAGCTCAGTTACCACTAGTTTTGGCACTGCAGTTGGCTGAACTTCTTGCGCAGTGGTGTCTACAGCCATTACTCTTGGTGCTACCGTCGGAACATCACCCTTCGTCACCTGGAACCTTACATCGATACCTTAGGCTAGCTTACCTCAAATGCAGGTGCTGCTGATGAAACCACTTCCGCAACGGTCGGTACTGCTGTTGAGATGCCACCACTTGTGGCCTAGGATGCAGGTAGAGTAGCTTAAGGCATAACTAGCTTACCACCACTGTAGGTGCCAACGATGACTGAATGCCTCCAACAGTCGTACCTACCGATGGTAGTTTCGGGGGTCGGGTATCGGGAAGCGGCAGCCCGGTCCAGATTACAGGGTATGTTCGGGTATTCACGGGCGCAGCTGATGACGATGCTACCTCCGGGGGTCTCGTATCAGGCAAGGGCTCCCCGGTCCAAATGACGGGATATGTCCGCGTAGTCTCGGGTGCAGCTGATGATGATGCCACCGTCGGTGGCCGGGTATCAGGCCGGGGTTGCCCTGTCCAAATCACAGGATAGGTCCGAGTGGTTTCGGGAGCAGCTGATGATGATGATGCGACCGGCGGGGGTCTCGAATTCGGTCGGGGCACCCCAGTCCAAATCACAGGATACGTCCGGGTGGTCTCGGGTGCAGCTGATGATGATCCTACTGTCGGGGGTCTGGTATCGGGCAGTGGCTGCCCAGTCGAAATCACGGGGTACGTCCGGGTGGCCTCGGGTGCGGCTGATGATGGTGGTATGGTTACGACGTCGCCCGTCGTTACCTGGGATGTCGGAGTTCTACGTAAATGAGTATTAGTATACCGCTACTACAGGTGGTGCTGATGATCGAGTTTCTTGAGCAGCTACTGTTGAAGCGACAGTTTGGATGTCTTCCTTTGTTACCTGGAACGTTAATAAGGTATATTCGCGCGAAATTACCACAACAGCTGGTGCTGCGCTTGATGGAGCTGCAGTGCCGATGTTTTCCTTCGTCACCTGATACCTGACTACCAAAGGTAAAAAGTACTCTACCACTGCAGGAGCTGCTGATGATTCAGCTTCTTGAACAGTATTTTCAATGCCAGCTACGCTTGCTGCTCCTCCGCTTGTCAACTGTTATTTTAATGTAAATTAATCCGGTGCACCAACCACTGTTGTAGGTACTGCTGAAGGTGCAACCTCTGGAACCTTAGTCTCCGCCTCGTCTACGACAATCTGAAAACTTACACAACTAAGGAGTATCCAGAAATAACACGAAACAGACCCTGTACACGAATCATTTGCTTTTCTTACCGGGACCTTGGGCTTTCTTGTCAAGTCCATGTCGAACCTCTTCTCCTCATATTCAACCGTTGGGGTCACCAATGGACTCTCGTCATTCAAAACCGGGTCCGCGTCAGTTGGTTGTATCACAAACGGCACTTCCGTAAGCGCATCGGTCTCATCAGTCTTCAGCTTTCGTCGTGGTTCCGGATGCTCTTGCTCCTTCGAGTCCGAGTCGCTGAACTTGTCGACCTCGTTCTCAAAATCCTTGACGAGGCGGAGGGTCTCGGACTCGAGGAGGGAGGCGTCGATCGGGGTCTCGACCTCGTCGACGGCCTGATCGAGGTGGTGAGCGGCTCTCTGGAGCGCTTTTTCGATCTTGGCTTTTCAGGCTTGCCTTGAGTCGCGGGACATCTGGGTCGTGGGAGCCGCCTCCTGGAAGGCATTGGAACCTTTTAAGTTTGAAAAATTTAGCGTTTTTGTTTAGATAGTTTTGAAAGTCGCTGATTTTTCAAGTCGTTAAGTTTTAGGCATTTTTAGCAGAGGAAAACACATTTTCTACAATAAAAATAGAATTTTTATAATTTTTTGTAGTCTTTGATTACTAAAGGCTACTAAAAATTAAAAAAACTTTAAGAAGTTCTTTTCTTACTCAAAACATCATAAAAATTGAATGTTACGAAAAGACGCAAAAATTCCTAACCTGACAACGCGCCGGCAGACGACAGTAGCCCGCATAGCAGGCCGAGGATCAGACGATGTTTCATCGCCGTTAAAATGTGGGATCCCTGGGCGGGCGTCTTTAATACGACATCCTCATAAATATTGATGTCAAACAAAAATAGTTTATTTTTATTTGAAACATTTTTTTTAATATTGCCGACGCAGGTTGGCGCTAGACGGCACGTCAATGGTTTTGAAGAGATTGGAAAATTATGTGGCTACAGTTTCCAAAAAAAATGCTGCGAAGAAAATGCTTTTGTCGAGATTTGTAGACTACCTCATTAATTTTTGTAATTTTGACCTTGTTTTACCCAAGTTAAAGCGAAACATTCTATTTTTCAAATTTTTATGTTAGCGGCGAGCCAAAAATATATTTTGTAATTAATTTTTTATTGATCCTTGTTGATTTTATTTTTCTGTATTTAGTTTTACTTTCTGTATTATTGCAAAGGTATCTGAGTTATTTATCCTCAAAATTAAACAAAAAAAAAATACAGCAAAAACGAGCTCCAAAATGAGATCAACACATTTGGCAATTGGGCTATGGATTTGACACCGTTAGGAGGGATTGAAAACGCAAAAAAGTGACGGGCAACATGTAAGAGAATCCAATTTGGAAGGTGTAAAAATAAGGTAACGAAACATTACGAGATTTAATAAGGGTTTTAAGAACAAGAACAAGGTCCTTTGGAGAGCTTAAAGCAAAATTTTTAAACAATACCCGATTCAAAAAAATACACAGCTGGGGGCAATAGGGACACCGGGGGACTTACAAAATTCATGGGGCTGACATGGTCAAACGATCACAAAAGTGGAGAGCACATCAATTTTTGACTCCTTTTTTCGGTCTCCTTATCAAGGATACGGTAGGCGCGGGATACAAGTCGACAACGACAAAAAATGGAGGGTAACGAAATTAATGATTGGTACACTTGAAACCACCGAAAAAAATGGATATGTGTGCAGAGTAAAGGATTTGAACAAAAGATTCGAAAGTAAAGGCGGAACTGAAAGTATACAAGAGAGTCCGTTTTTCCGGTTCGACTGTACGTTAAAAGACTGTAACAAACATACAAAACGCAATTTCACCCTCTCGATGCATTCTAGTGACTTTTCAATTACTTAAAGTTATCGTTTTCACTTCCGAATTCCTTTAGAAGTGAATAAACGGCTTGGGACTTGGGTAAAGTTTGAAGAAAATCGTCAAGAGTATTAGGAAGCCTCAAAAGAGCATGCAGAAGTATTTAGATGACGTTAACCTAGAGCCATTCAATCGACGACGTCGCCGATGCGTCATTATGCGTATTGGCTGGTGGTACACTTGCTGCTGCAGAGATGCTCCTCGGTGGTGAATCCATGCTCATCGCATCGCGATCAACGGGGAGATCCAGCATTGAAGCTCTCTCATGACCGTTGGCCCCAACGAGTAGAGTGGTCGGCTTCTCGAGGTAGGTGGCGCTCCTGAAAAAGCTTATAGAATTTTTATGCGATTTTTACAAATCTATGCTTGGGTTTTTGCTGGTCCCTAGCGGAAAAAATTCTTAGACGTCTTCGCTTAAATTGATTTCTAGTGCCAGAAAACCCAGCCAGGCCAAGTTTCCTTCCATAATGAATGGCACAGACCGGTCTCATCGGTTACGGACGCAAATAAAGAGAGAGTGAGAAAGAGGGAGAAAGAGAGAGAAAGAGCGAGAGAGAGAAGAGAGAGAGAGAGAGAGAGAGAGAGACGGAGAGAGAAGAGAGAGCGCGAGCGAGGGGGAAAGGCAGACTCGCCTTTTCTCGCGACCCCAAAGTTTCAGTTTCTTCATTTCGAACCCACGCTCTCCTGAGGGCAAAAAGCCACGAGGTCAAATAAAGGGGGTGTTGATAATGGCTGGGGTGGAAAAAACAATTTTGGACATCGGGACAACGGGTGGGATTGAACCCTGGTGACGGCGGGTGCCTGGAAGGGTGTCTAGCCGAGCTGATGTGTGTTTTAAAGGGAACGTGACAGGAGCAAGAAGTGGTAATGAAGTTCATCGTTGGTTCGCGAATAGCGTCTAGCCGAATAGCGAAAAGGAGTTTAAATGCTATGGAGATATTGGAATGACAAGCTTTAAAAGAATAGAAGCGCCAGACGGAAAGACGAACAGGAAAAAAGCTTAATTATTTTTGGGTCTAGAGTTTCGAAGGGCAAGACAATTTTTGGGAATTGAGAAGCAACCGCAGCCGTAATTAACCACATGACAGACATTAAAAGTAGAGGTGCGGCAATAAAATCAAAAGATAAATGTGTTACCTGACGATCTGCCGAGGGCTACAGAAAAAAGGGAATGTAGCAAACTTTTAATGTATGAAGTAAACAACGATACCCTCTAGGCCTTCCAGCCATTTTGTTAGCTACTCACCTAAACGGTCGCTTTACCCTCGTCCTGAAGGGCGAATTCTTCAGCAGCAAATTTCCAGTGTCAAGCCCTGCGGCTTTTAGGTGGCTGCCCATCTAAAGACGTTTGAAATTATACAGATTAATAAGTCAGAAATATAAAAAATCTTAGGCACTACCTGTTGGATGTTCTTCCATAGCGGCGCTCCATTCGCACTGCCATTGCTGTTACCATCTGCTATTAATGTGCTCGCTGTACTTCTGACTCCATTGGCAGTACGGCCAGAATTCCGAAGGTTCCTAAAGAATAGATATTGATCCGAAAATGACGAGAGAGAGAGGGAGAGAGAGAGAGCGATAGAGAGGGAGAGAGGGACAGACAGTGATAGGACTGATATCAATACCTGTTTAAAAACGCATAAAACAGCCAATTGAACGCGCTCTGGGTGTACGGTAGCGCGTGCAGCATGTAGAAAAGGAAGATCGGTACTGATGGCATTTCTTCACGTTCAAATGCAGAAGTTGTCACTGCGGCACTGATGTTGAGTGGGGATTTCTAAAAACAAAAAATTAGAGCCTGGCAAGTCCATTACCGTATGATGGGGATCGTCGCCGATGCGATTCGTTTGGGTGTGGTTCTGGGGCGGGCTGTAGGATGACGTTGAGTTGTCATCGGTCTCGTGGTCGTCCATTAGGTCTGAAAAATCGTATTTTTGCATAATTTTTTGTTGTGGTTTCCAGTGATTTTCCCTTTCTTCCGTTTTTCTGCTGAATTTAACTCCAATAGGTTTATTTTTATAACAAAATCCAAAATTTACATTTTTTGGCACATCTCTCTCCCGCTCTCACTTGAATTCTGTTTTTTTTCTCGCACTTTCTCGGTTCCCTCCACTTTCTCTCGTTCTATTGCTGTCTCTCTCGCCATTTCTCTCGATTTCGCTATCTCTCTGGCTATCGCTCTCACTTTCTCTCCATCCGCCCACGCTCTCCTTTCAAAATCAAACCCCTATGTCCCAAATCTTTTCCATAACAACCCAATTTACTCCCTTGTCTCGGGTTACGATGTGGCCCTTCTTAGGGCCCAGGTGGGCCATAGAAAACCCATTTGGGCCTCTAGACCCCAAATATTTTTGCGCCAATCCCCCGTCCAATCAGTGTGCTTCTGTAACCCAGGGTCCCGGCACGGCCCACTCTTGTGAGGTTCTAGAATATTCTAATGTGTCCTTGTGCCTGGCTGGGGGCTACCTGCCGAGAATTACGTGGGCTGAGGAGCAGTAGAGGAAGAAGACGACGGCGACGAGGAGGAGGAAGAGGCGGAGGAGAATGAAAAGGGGAGGAGGTGGTTATGCTAAGAACTAAAAACCCTGGAACCACTTTACTGGTCTCAACTTTCCCACTAATAAGGGCCATTCACGGGAGCCTGGTGGTTGGGGTAGTCTAGGTTCGACTGCAGCTGAGAATTCGAAATTTCAAGTTTTTCTCGAGTTGTGTGTGTTCTAGACTGGAAACCGGTGCTGAACAAGAAAGTGAAAAAGTTGTGTTTTTGGTTCTGAAAAATTCCGAATTCCTGGAGCGCGAGAAAATACAGAACGCACAACTTTGCGTACTAACTAAGCCTAAGCTTAAGCCTAAGCCTAAGTCGAAGCCTAAGCCCAGACCTAAGCTCAAGCCCAAGCCTAAGCCACGGTACTTCCTTTCCGTTTCCAACCCCCAAAATTATAAAACCAAAAAACAGAACTTCCTAATCTCTTCTCGCTGACCATAGGCCAAAAAACGGAAACATGTTTTTTCTGGGATTCGCATAATTAGCCTTTGAAAACGACCGGATTATCTGACCACACGCTAGAATACGCATATCTAATCCTGTCATATAACAAAAGAAAGTTTTTAGAGGGTTCCATTTCAACCAAGGAAGGACTTCCCCGATTTGGAAAAACCCTGGAAAACAAGGAACATAGAGCAAAGACTTGGGGTGGATCAGGATCTGTTTTGGATTAGGAACGCCCAACTACACGTAAGCAACTTTTGTTAATGTCTTCCGCAGATTATGAGACCGATTCCGCTTGGGCTTGAGGGTTTCCAGATGCAAAATGAGCAAAAAAACGCAATTTTTTTGAAAAAACTTTAAATTCTGTTACCGAGGCTGATTTCAAAGCCCTAAAGTCTGTTGCCCGGGGAACGGCTTGAAGATCCGGATCCGCATCCGGATAAGTCGGAAATTGGGCTTTAAAACATTGTTGTATTGGCCTAAGCCTAAACATCTAGCTAGATTTAATGTCTTCGAGGTACCTTCAAAGCCCCGAGAAAAATGGCTTTCAGAAATAGTACCATTAACCTAGCCTTTCGAGGCCGAAAGCTTCACAATACCGAATGGTTATACAAAATTTTTACAAAAGTAAGCATTCAGGTTACGCGCTTAGGCATTACGACATGAAAATAGTCTTACTGCAAGTTCGAAAAGTCCCTGTCGCGGTTTTACCACTATATTCCTATTTACGAAGACCCTGACCACCTCGTGCTTGCTCCGATTTCCTCACAACATCCTTGAAACAAACACATAGGACGCGCGGCTTTTCTGGTATTTCCCCCTTTCTTGGTCCTAGTTAGACCAAAACGTGGGCGCCGCCAGCCAGATGATGGCCAAAATATATTGAGAAGGGGCCACAGAAGCCATGTGTGTGGAGGTATCACATTTCATTTTCTAGCGCTCTGCTGGCCCTGTGGAAATGGGCGAAAAAGAGGGGGCCTATTTGGGAGTGGGCCACTCTTTTTGCATTGCTTCTCTAAAGTCATCATCTAGGGGCCTTGGGACTCTATTTTGGGGCTTAGATAGCCCTATGGAATTCTATAGTTGCATGAGGGTGGACCGGATTTAGATCGGCCTGGGAATTGAAAGTGAGAAGTGTTGAAATGAGTCATCGGAGGGAGAGAGAGAGAAAAAGAGAGAAAGAAGCAGAGAGATATGACGTTTTCTAACCAACGATTTGCGCTATGGATGACGCAATATCAGAAAGGTACCGTAATCGACCAAACCATGCTAGGAAAAGTTTTTAAAGGGAATTGGAAGCGTAAAAATCTACCTTTGTTCATTACTAGTTCTCGACAACTACGGAAAGCGTCTAGGAACCTTCGATAAATTCATTTTACAGCGAACAAAGCCATATTGCCCAATTCTAAAAAATCCAGATTTGCTGTTGGGTGTATTTTAGAACGTCATGTAGCTCTCGAGACCTAGTTTATAGAATGGGGTCGATTTTCGAACTGCCTCCTCCCTTTAAAGATTTCCAACGGATCATAACTGGCCTAAAATCAGGGTGCTATGGAATCTCAAGTTCAGTTTTTTGAACGTCACTATTTTCAGCTTTTCCATTTTTTAATGAAGCAAAAAATTCCCTGCTGACCCGAATTCCATTTCGCCGATTCACTTTTCCGTTCCGTGGATTTTAGCGTTGTTTTTGACAGCTCCAGCGAGTGAACTGCACGTCACTTTTCCCCCGGCAGCACCCAAAAGTTCCCAGCCCCTTGAAATCAATCCTCCCCCACTCCACTACTTCCAGAAGGCGCCAATTTTCCCGTTACCCACACCGGCGAGGACACCGGCCCCGGCAAATCGTAAACACGATTCGGATTCTGACGTTTTTTTAGACACTTGGTCAGGGATAGAGAGAGGGAGCGGGGAGAGAGAGCGAGAGAGAGAGAGAGAGAGAGAGAGAGAGAGAGAGCGAAGAATCTAAAATTCAGACCAACTGTCCCCTGTGTCCACTGGCCAGTTCCGTAGTCGTAGAACCGCGGCTCGAATTTCAAGAAAACAGTTTTGCAATTGGGACCTTGCCGAGTTTTAAAATAAACAGATTTCGCGTGCATACGCAGGTGCAGGGAGGTGCAAGGAGTACTCCGGCGTTCGCTCTACCGCAAGATCAGTTCAAGTACTCACGGGAACGCTCGTAAGGTGTAAAGTTCGGAAATTTGACCCCTGAAGTAGAAAGAGAGCGGAATTGAGTGGATTGATTTTAAGGAACCGTTCGAGCCAAAATCAAGAAGCTGAAGTCAAGAATATTGCGAATTGTACTAGTGTATTCGAGCTTCATTTAGGATTTCGTCTTACTGTAGCAAAATCGGGATGCCTGAAAAAGCCTTATAAGTAAAATAACGCGTTTCCCAGTGTATTTAACGTAATTTTGCTAAGCTACTCCGTTAAAAAAACTTTAAACTGTTATCATACCCGGCTCACCAAAATTTTAGATTTTTGAAGATCAGTTTGTTGACGTTCCGGGCCGGTTAGCCCTGTTTCCCAGGAAATTTGAGGTATTTTCAGATCCGCAAAAATTTCCTAACGACCCTGAAGGCAAGATAGGGACACGGTCACCGTACCCCACCCGCCCATCAAGTGGCGCAAATTAAGCGCCGATACCTGATAACAAAAACAATAAGGAATTTCACCCAAATCCCTCAGGGTTTTTTCAGGTGTTGAAAATATTGTCTTACAAAATTTTTCCAATTTTTTTTAGGGGCCCATCATCTTCTGGAAGGAGGTGGAGGAACGGCGAAGATAATCAATTGGTTGGGGGTATTTCATGAATAAGTGAGTATTCAGGCGTCACGGCATGGGTCGGCTATTGTTTAGAGGCGCATAAGGACGAGGAGGGGTGCAAATGGGAGGAAAAAGAAGCAGATAATTATCCTTCGCAAGATGTAAAATAATCGATTTTAGGGGGATGTTAGAAGTGGCGTTGCGTAGCCAACTCTTTACACTAAAGCCTAATTTTAATAATTCAAGTCGGAGCCTGAGAGAGAGCGTGGGAGAGAGACTGAGAGGGAATGAAAAAGACATAGAGCGAGAGCGTGAAATGGCGAGAGGGATTAAAGTTAAATGGGAGAGCGCGAGTGAGAGATAGAGAGAAGGAGAGTACCGGAAGAACTCTTGTTGCGAGAAAAGCGCGGATTTTACCAAAATATCTGTTTTTTTAAGGGCCACACAATCTAATCTATTGCCTCAGTTTTTACTTAAAAACTTAACTTTACTTAATTCCGAATTTCTCTTTCCACATTCAAATGGCAAATAAGATAAGCTATTCCAAGACATTCAAGCTCCCACCTCCAGCCAGAGAATGGTGCAACTGCATGGTGAAGTAAGGCGTCCAGCAGATGAAGTAGAAGGCGACCACCATCACCGAACATTTGACAACTCTTGACAGCGAGATGGAGGTCTTTCGGCCGACCGAGGAGATTCTGGTGTGACGGTAGAGCTTAAAAATACAATTAAAGGTATAATCAAGTGGTCTTAATATGCGGATACCTTAAAAGTTCTAATGCATAAAACGTTATGTTAGGGTTTTTAAAGGAAGTGTGACAACTAGTTAGTACGATAGTCAAGCTTGCTCGAATTTTCTGCTTTTCTCTCGGGCTTTCTCTCTCTCTTCTCTCTCTCTCTGTCCCTTTTACTCCCTTAGCCCCGTTAAAAATCCTGAT